TTCGGGGTTGAGAAAGCTTGCGACCACCAACCTGTATGCGTTCGGACCCTTTCAGGATAATAGAATGTTTGCGATGATTGCAATTGCGACCCAAAGTAACCAGACCAGGAAAATTGGAATATATACTTGTAGGTTCCTTGAACTTTTCACCGTACATGCAAAAATCCAACTTGACGTGACATACATGTTCATCCCTTAGGTACCGTTGAATGAAGGGTAAATCGAACAGCCTTGAACTACGCGGGTTCTCTAAGGACCACTTGACACCATATCTGTTGCAGACCGCGATGACCTCTGCACTGAACATAGCCATCTCAAGACCCACACGCTCTCTCTCCCGAGCCCTCAAGTGGTTACGAATAAAATGCCGAGCCCTACTGAACACCGTACAGGGAGTACCTAGGTGTACGTATGAGATACGGCCAGATTTCAACCAACTGAGGATAATTGTTTGAGTCTGTCTACGCCGGATATCGTGATGCGCTCCACTAATATTGTCAATACCCGTGAAAGCTGCCATGCCCTGTAGTGATATTGCATGTGTAAGCCGTGCTGTACCACAAAATATTTCCAAAAACATACCCTTCCCAGAAGAACATCTAGAAGAGGATGATGCAGTCGCTCTGTCGCTTGTCGGGCACTGGGCCCCGGCTTCACCCCCCGCACAGTCAAGACGAGGGACAGCCTCCATGACGTCTTTGGCAACAGGCTTCCGCATTTCCTGGCCCAGGTTGCGCTTCTTGGTTGCATGTTCTGTAAATCTTGAGTCTCTGTCTGCTGGATTTCGATCTGTCTCAATATGCCTAAGCCTCCACCTCAATCTAGCTGCAAACTGATAAGCCGCAGCCATCTGACAAACCCTGTTGAGATGGAATGATGATGATCTCCCCCTTTCGAAAGCACAAAGAGCTGCCAAGTTGTCACACAGTGTCACTTTTAACCGCCCGTGCAAACTGCCTACTCTGGCCGTACGCCTGAGCGAACTGAGTGCCACCATCGCCTCTTTGACGTTGATGTGGTTCCCACTATCCCTCCACCTCTTCCTCCATAAAAGTGAAAAGCGCTCCATTTGCACCAGTCTTGGGTCGATAGGACGAACCAGCGCAGGAACATCCACCTCTACCCTCTTTTGTCGAGTTGCCCGCAACTGGCTGCGGACTGCGCTGGTTCGCAGCCAGCTAGTGGGATCCTTGCTGTGGACAATCCAGTCGGCATATTGGCCAAGAAGCCCAGCACCAAAAGGCGCCGCAGGTTTGAGCTCATTGTCAGGCACTGCCTCCCCTGGAACCTCTGGGCACAGGGTTCGCAGCACTCTCAGCACTTCTTCCCGACCGTTGTCAGCAGCATCTATCAGGGATTCCGGAAAAGGTCGAAACCGCCATGCCTCTCTCCATTTGCATGTGTCTTTGAGCTCGGCCGTGGTTGCCCAAGTGGTCAGCAGGGCAAAGGCATTGGAAGATGAGTCGCCCGCATCAAGTTGGTGGATAGGATTGAATTTGATGCTGGTGCGAGTCAACCACATGACCCCCAAAGCCAATCTGATTTCGGCTCTGACGGTCTTCCACATCTTCGCTCGCTTTCCGCGATGCAGGGTCACAAATTTGTAAATGTGAAAAAAGCATGATAATCCATGGGGAGCCAGCATGAAAATGGATGTCATGTGCCCTAGCCAGATTTCCAACAATTTCACTGATACGACGTTGCGTCGCAGCAGTTCACGCCCAGCCAAGAACGCCCTCCACAGCCGTCTTGACTTGTTGTATGCAATGCACTGTTTGAAATCCAAGCAAATGCCAACAGTTTCAAAAACAGGAGAAGGATCATTAGACGACCAGGTCAGTGGAATATTCAAATCATGGAATGCCTTTTCTACCCTGCAAGCGGCTCTCCTAGTCTCATCCATGGTCTTGCCAATGATTGAAATATTATCAACATAAACACCTGTAACCACCCGCTGTGTCTCAATGCAAGGAGCAGCTTGTCGGTCTCGAATCTCATGCAGAGGCCGGGGGATCCTCCCAGCAACAATATGAGAAACTGTTCCTGTGCGAAGTAAAGCGCCCATGACCACCCCATGCATAGTCCCCTAAAAACGGGATAGACAACCAAATCGTCAGATGGTGTAAAATGCCTGTCCACGTCGTCAGAAAAAATTTGACATCTGTTCCATCCCAGCCCCACCCATTCTGCTACTGTGAGAGGACAATCAATGCCAAACCATGATGCCACTGTTTCAGAGAAAAAGTTGTAGAAGCAGTCATTGACATCCGCTTCAATCCCATAGGCAGCAGGTTCTCCACCTTGTCCCTCCTGAAGCTGCAGGTCCAAATAGGACCTGGGTGTTGCAAGCCGAGTGCAAGGTGGTGATTGGTGCATAGCGTTGACACGCCTTGCGTCAATCACCATCCTGATCCACTTGGGCGTCTTCTTTTTCACAAAAAAGATGCCAATCTTCTCTTTGACCTTGGTTCGAAATGTGATGAGCCCTTGGTTCGCCAATGTCACCATCAACTTCTTCAGCGCCTTTGGGGAGCGCCTCAGAGCAGGATCCCAGTAGGGTTTGATCCGGCAAGGCCCGTCTTCAGCGACTTGCTTGGCTGACTTTTCAATCATTGTAGCTGCTCTTTTCACAAGCGAGGCTGCGTGCTGCGGCAGGACCGATTCCAGACTTTTGGGGTAAAGCTTGGAGTGGAGCACTTTCACCTTTTTGAAGTCATAGGCAGCGAGATTCTTTGGCTCCTCCTGGTAGAGGTCTTTGCTGGAACAGGGCTCATTCAGTGCAGATGCACCGTCAAGGCCTCCGGGGGGTTCACCTGCCAAGTGCAGGGATTCCTGTATGTGAGAGGCCACAAGCTTCTGCGTGGAGTTTGGTTCCAGCCCGCTCAAAAGATGATCAAAATCTGAATTCGGATCTTGCAAAGCGAGGCAGTTCAGCGCGTGCGCTGCCCAACGTCCCCGCTGAGGGAAAACAATTCCAGAGTCATCCAACCCACGTTCAACCCAGGCTGGTGGCAATGGAAAGGGATCGCCGTGCGTTCTGTACTTGGCGATGTGCTGGCCGCCCGAATGGTCCACCCTGAGCATGCTGGCAGCAAAACGATGCCCAGGTGAAAACTGTTGAGCTAAGTCTCAACGCCAGCGGACTGTCCGCCGGCGGCATTAGAGCTCTTCTTTTTCTTCTTCCATCCCTTGCCCTCCTCACCCTTGTCCTTGCTGCCTCTGGAGGCATGTGACGCTTCTTCCCTTGCCAGCCTGGATTGTTTCTGGATGTTGGCTCTCTCCTTGAGTCTTTCGGTGAGCCAATTGTCCAACTGCTTGGTGGCTGCTGAACCGCCATCTGTGATGGTGGATTCCATGAGGATGTCAAGGTTTTGATAGTCCGGACTGCTGGGAGACCTTGCGACTGCCAACTCTATTTGTACAAGCCGCCTAACCACCAACTCGAAAGCCATGATGTTTGTGACATCCAACTGGTCCCTGCATATTGCCAATCTCAGCATCTCTATCAAGTTCTTGTGCTCATGTGCAGCTGCAGTGTGAGTATTCACGCCACTATGCTTCAACCATTGCAGATGGTAGCCAGTCAGGTCAGCTGCAGCCCCCTCATTGATTGCATTCAGGAATTCCTTTGCTGCTCTAGGACCACTGAAGCCCCAGTCAGTGAATTTGGTGTCCCGGAAGAGTGCAACTGCGTCGGCAAAGGGGATGTATCTGCGCTTCTGGCTGTCCTCATGGTGTCCTATGGTGCGCAAATCTCCATGCCCAGCTCGCTTGGAGTCTTTGTAGCCAGACACTGCGCTTTCATCTATCTCTTCAATGGCCTCAACCTTGTCCCCCACATCCACCAGACCTCGTGCTCCAATGGTCACAGCATTGCTCAACTGGTCGTCGGCCACCCTGTTACCAAGTCTGTCAGAGTCTGCATCTGAAAAGACCCAGACACGGGCGGCCACATCGGCAATGACTTGGTCTCCCAGGACCATGGCCATTGTGTTGGCTCTGCGGCGGAGTCTTTCAAGGTCCGCCCTGGGGATGGGATCGAAGGCATATGTATCAGCCGCCAGGTGGCCAGGGAAGTCTTCGCGACGACCTAGTACCACATGCCGAGTGGTGGTCAAATCTACGGGCTCCAACTCATGGTCGGGTGACAGCCCGACCCACCTCCCGGGCGAGAGACGGACTAACAAAATCCGATGATGCCATTCGAAGTTTGGATCTGCTGCAAATCTTACAAGCACCTGTGGATCTGCTATGTCTAAGGTCTTCCCATCATCATTCATAATCCTCTGGTGGCCCTGCCCCGTCCTAGAGACGAGGGACGAGTTGGCACAGCCGCCCTCGCTGGTTGAACTGGGGCGAGGGCTGTGTCTGACTCGGAGTCACTGGCTTCAACGGTGTCACCTATGCTCACCAAGGATGTCTGGACAGGACCACGCTGTGTCTTGATCAGCCACCAAATCACTGTCAATCCTAACAAGCTTGTGAATGAGAAAAACAAGAGTTGTCCCCAAATGGTAGAGGGTCGTTGGTCCTGAGCTCTGGCAAGAACTTCACTGTACCCGGCTAAGATCCGTTGAGTGTGGTGAAGCTCAGCCTGGAATGCCCTGACCTCCAATTGTAGTGTCTCAGTAAGATGAGATTGGGTCCAGTCAGAAGTCAATGATCGAAGGATATGGCTAGCGAACCACACAAAATGGACCAACCTCTCTTGCATGGGGACTTGATGGAAAAAGGCTTGAGAATGGATCATATGGGGCCAATGAACTCAATGGTGCAAACAACGCATGCTTCCTATATATATACACATGATCTTATATGTATATCTCTATACACGCTTTCTCGTTGGATATTTAAATAAGAAGGAGACACCAGCCAGTTTGACGAGCCACCTGGAGGTCCTGGAGTGCTTTCCTCGGCCATAATGTGCTCGAAGAAGGACTCCGGCGGGTGTGGTCCATAATCGGCTATGTGGTCGTCGAAGAAGGAATCCATCACCGGGGGTGGTCCCAAGACATCCTGGGCCGCCGCCATACATGGGTTCGTTTTTTAGGTAAAGAAAAAAACGAACATGAGACCAAGTATACTACATATGTCTGAATAAATGTTCAGATGTCAAAGGGCAAAAAATTCTCTGTACATACAACAGTAAAATGTTATATGTATATAAATCATGTAGATATATAGATGTGTATAAATTCGCAGAATAAAACCAGATAGTCAGCTGTTTCAGATTTCGATTTGGCAAACCCTGCACGAAATTCCTTCCCAACCCACAATCCCACAAGACCCAAATTGGGGCATGGTGGGGAAGGATGAAAATGATGGACGCTTGCGATTCTTTCCACACATGCCTGCATGGGTGGGGAACCACATAAAAACAAATCCTTATGTACTATTTGTAGTAGTGTCCAATGTCTGAATTTTACAAAGAATCCTAGTGAAACAGCCCCCAATGCGAGTAAGATTCATTCATCAAGTCCTGTAAGCTTCTACGTCTAGGTTCAGCGCATGCTTGGCTTGAAGGTGATGTGCGGGCTGCTTGCGGCTTTGTCTTTGCTGCTGTCTTTTTTTGGGATGGTGGGGGATCCTTCTTTTGTTTTTTGGACGGCGTGGGTTCCAAATTGTCGGATGACTTGGATCTCTTCACTTGGACTAGTTGTGATCTTTTTGACTTCTTCGGGGCAGGGGGTGTTTCAGGGGGGGCAGTTCCATCTGTTTGCTTGTCTGGAGCTGCGGTCAGTGCTCGCTTGTTTGCTTCATTTTTGTCTTGTTTCCCTTCAGTGGCTGACGAAGATTCTCGCTCTTCCGGTGCCTGCTTGTCTGCCGACTTGCGTCGTAACCTGGTCTGCGGCGGGTGTGAAGTCTCTTGCTGCGGTGCTGCATTGTGTGCTGCCGACTTTGCTGCCTGCTGCTTTTCATCAGACTTGCTCTGGTGGCTACGTTTGCTTTTGGCTGCCATGCTCGTTTCAGGCGCTCCATGGTCCGTAACTTCAGTTGGGGGATCCGATTCCTTCTCCTCTTCCTCACCTTCACCTTCACCTTCCTGCCCGTCTCTTCCGGGGTCGCCTTCTTCCCTAGAATCACTAGAATCATTGCTGGAGCTGCTGGAACTAGATTTGGATTCTTTCCCGCCACCACCATCCCCAGGAGGCTGTGCCGGCGCGGACTTCCGACGTTTGCTTGGATCCCCAGTCCGCATGTCCTGGCAGCGGGCAACTAATGCGGATGAATGTGAATTTGATATTGAAAATATGGGGGACACCGGGACACCATGATGATTTGAATTCAAATTTGGTAATTACTGGGTATTGTGGAATTTTGAATATTTGGAATCAACACCGGTTATTCAAACAAATGGAATTTAAAACACAATCTTGTATACCCCAGTTCCTCTGGAACCCATTTTCGACAGTTCAGAGCTTCTTGGGCCATACGCCGAAACATTGCTGAAAGCTTCAATGCCCGACTCGCTGCCCAACTGGCAGCTTCGGGAACCAAGGCTTTCTCCTGCAGATATGTAATCAGCAAAATCAAATATGGGAAACCTGCTCAAATATGACCCTGATAAACATAAACACGATCTTTTACGTGCGGGTTGAAAAGGCATCTCCCATTCAAGTATGGCGCTACAAAAAAGGTGCCAAATACCACTTACAGTAACCCTATATAATCAATTTCAGTCTGTTCTCAAAACCGGATATCTTGGGACAGGGCTCGAATCCGAAGCAATTATGAGGAACCAAGCATTGGAAAAAATGTTTATTTAAGAACAGATAAGCTCCTTGTTCAGCATCTGCAAGGCACTATCGATGGTACTCAATGAAAAGTTCCATGTTTTGGAGACGCTCTGAATCCTTCGTAGGTGCTCAAGATAGCCTTGGAGTTTGACCACATCTTTGGCCTTTACATTTCGATCCTCCATGTAATTGACGAAGTTCTGGGTAGTCCTTACATGCGTAGACCCTTGTATGCAGAACACGGCCCCCAGTTGATTTTATTATGTGGGTTCCTGGAAAAATGAAACAAAACTAAAAGCCACCATGATCCACATCATTCCCATTTTGTTTTCAAAACAAGCTTCACCCAGGGCCTCAATGCTACTACAAGACCATCCAGATCATCACTGCTGGGACGCCGGGAGACAGCAGCCGGTCTTTTCATCTTCATGGCACCAACGGGAAACCCAACTCAAAAAATGAAATCTATATGCATATATATATATATATGTTCATTTGTTTATTCATGTTTTGCGTATGTATATATACATCTGTAAATATATATATATATATGTGTGTGTGCGTGTTTATGTGTGACTACTGTTCATAGCATTACATACCTATGTGTATAATTCGTGGTCTTTGGCATTGGATCTGCAAACCATCCAACTAGTTTGTTGGCTAATCCCTGGCCCCTTGTCACAACAACTTGTTGGTGTTTTCAGACCTTGGCAAACCTCTTGACAATGCACCAGCAATCGAGGTGCCGGCTGAGTTGCGCTGGTCTGCGGCGAGATGCTTGAAACTGGATCGATGGCCCAAACAGTTGACAGGTTTGGAAACTTACAAAGTTGGGAAATTGATTTCTTGATTTCCCCGAAAATACCTAGGGTCACATTTCCAAACCAACTTAACTAAGATAACTGTCAAATTGACATCTTGGAGCCTTACAAAAATCGGTCAAGCCGGATTGTTTAGCAATTGTGGCCATCGAGTGATTTGCAAAACCCAACAATTGGCGATGCTGCTCTGAAGCTGCGAAAAAAACGGAGGGATCCTTCGCACTCAAACCCTACAAATCCAGAAGGGCCAACACAAACAATGATGTATTACCTTGTCAAGGTTGTGCTTTGCTTCCCCAAATTTAGTTTCCCCAAAAAGATCTTGGATTTGCAGAAAATGGATATGGCCACATGTCCCAAACCTGAAAACATGAAACACCCACAAATGACGGGATCCAATCACAAACAGCAAACATAAATGTGTATAGTTGGGCTATATTTACATTCGCATATGTTTCTTTTTATTACCTACAGTTGGGGGTGTACAATTGTATGAAATATTGATGTATAAATATATATATATATATATACATATTATTATTATACATATATGCTACTTAGCGGCATCCACACTCACATGCGAGAACAGGCTACCACTAAAATGTGGATGTGGATACTTTCTTTTTCCGTTAAACCCAAACGTTAAAGTTCGTGTATCGCGCGTCCACAAGTAGCACGCGCATGGCTCAAGCAAAAGGCGCTACGCAAAAAAAAAACTCCGGCACATGGCTTAAGCAAAAAGGATTACGCACTTTTTCCCTGCATGGCTCACGCAAGAAGCGCTACCCACATTTCCTGGCACATGGCTCATGCAAAAAGTGCTGTGCAACATGCCAGGCGCATGGCTCAAGCAAAGAACGCAACAGATAATAAGTGGCTCATGCAAAACGCTACACAACATTCCTGGCCAAGTCCTGGCCAGTGGCTCAAGCACAAAGAAGCGCTACCGCTATGATAAGCATGTCACACACATGGCTCAAGCAAAAGGAGCCAAAACCAGAGATGTCCAGGAGTTTCAGGTCATAACAGCGCACAATGCATTGCCCAGCCAAGAAATGAAGCAATAGATGTGTATCTTCTGCAAGCTACTTGCCAACCCAGCAACAAAAGTGCTGTTTTTTCACTTCAAAAGATGCTGAAGAAATAGATCGCCGAGATCCATTTTTTGGATCTCACACAGACGGGATCTAAAAAATAGATCGCATCGAGGGTCTGGGTACAGATGGGCGATCATCATGCTTCATGTTGTACACAATGTCAAGCCATTTGTTATAGAAGGCTTCGAGTTGGTCATCTCCGTAGTAGTTGAACACATACAAATGATGAGAGTTGTAGAGAACTTCAGTGTGATCGGGTGACTTGAAGCTTATCAGGATCATCGCAAACAGCTCCCGTCCCTTAATGAAGTCTCCACTCTTCCCATACATCTGGTTCTTCATGGACATGTCATACTTCACTTGCATGGATTTGTCTCCTGCATTATCAATGACCTTCCTCAAAGCGTTGGAGAGCTTGGCGTCGATGGATTGAAATCTCACCTCAGGCGCCTTGGCCAATGCATCCAAGTCCGGCTGATCTGCGAGACACGGAGCTAGCCATGCTTTCCAATCTTCATAATGTCGATCTCCACTAGCAACACAAACTTCATGAACGACACTTCCCTTCCAAGAAGAAAGTTCAGTTGTTTTGGGCCATGGTTGAAGGTTGATCTTCTCCGCCTCTCTTAGGGATACAGACGATCTTGACTTGTCCTTCTCAAGATTCTCCAACTCTATGACGTTGGCGTTGTACTCATTCCTGAGTTTCTCGAAGGCTTCGGCTTCAGCCCGAAGCTCTTGTTCCTCATCGTTGGCACGATCTTCTGCCTGAGAGAAATTGTTCTTGTAGTAGTCTTTACGCTCTTCCATCTTCTTCAGATCATCTCGAAGGGCTTGGACTTCTGATTTCTTCTCTAGTTTCATCTCTTCCAGTTCCGCTTTCAACTTGGCACACTTCTCTTCACACTCATTTCGAGGAAATGCATTACTGGATGATCCATGTAGTATTGTTTGCATGTTCTGCATGGAAGATGAAGCGGCCTGATTCTCGAGCTTCAGTGCAGCGATAGTGCTCGACATTTCTTCCACCTCAGTCTGATGCTCGCTGACGAGATGATGCATCTCCGTCAGATGACTTTCAGGAATAGAGTAATCAGTGGCTCCCTTGATAACAAGTCGTCTGTCATTCAGCTTGCTGATAGCACGACCGGCATCTCTGTGAGCATGTCCGATAGATTCCTTCTGGGCTGCAACTTCGGTGTTGAGTCGATTGATCATTTCGTCTCTGTCACTGATTTCATTATGTAAATTGTCGAATAGATTGCTGGAAGTATTCGGATGAGTACTCATGAAGTCGATTCTTTCCAAAGCATCTTGATATTTCTTCCCAAGTGACTCATATGTATCTTGGTAAGTCTTGATCAAGGTCTCGTTGT